CTTGACTAGAGCATTTTTTGGGGGGGTGCGCGGGGGAGATGGGGAAAAAAGGGAACAGATACAGTACAAGCAAATGTTGGTTAATATGGTTAAGGGATGTTTGTAGGGGAGAGCCAGCAACTGTTCCCTGCAGATGCTAGATAATTTTCTCTGCAGCTTCTTCCAGTGTCAGGAGAACACAAACTGATGACCAAACAAATGAAAAGCAGCCAGCCTGCAAGAGTCAGTGAGTAGTAGAGGAGTGAAGGACCTTCTCTTGTCTGGCAATTCTTTCCTAACTGCCCACATTAGATTATATGATAAACACAAGGCTGGGAGCACTGCCCTGGACATAGTGATGCTTCCAATCAAGTTTACCTGACTCAGACAGAAGGGTTATTCCAAAATACATTAAAAAGACTCACATTTACCAGATACAGCCAGAGCAGAGATCCTCACTGCAAGATTCAGTAGAAGAGAGGACCCCGAAGCTGCTTCCTCTTCCTGTCAAGCATGTCCTTTGTGAACACCTGATAGCAGAAGGGGGCAATGTTCAGCACACAACTACAGCTGAGAAATAAGTCTTGTGAATAAGTGTGTGTGTGTGGATCTGTAGAACAGTTTCTGCTTTGCATGCAGAAGGTCCCAGGTTCAATCTCTGGCATTTCCAGCAAAGGATAATGTAGTAGCTGACGTGAAAGACCTCTGCCTGAGAATTTGGAAAGCTGCTGCCAGTCTCAGTAGACTGATTTTGATGGACCAAAGGTCTGATTCAGTATAAGGCAGCTTCATGTGTGTTTATGTGTGAATCTGAAAAAGAACTGCACTGTCAGGACACAGCATGAACAGACTCCTTAAATAGTCCACAGAATCAGCCATTTTGCACATGCACAATTGCACAAGGAGTTTCAGTTTATGTCAGAACAGTGGAGAGGAGCAAATACAAGGTCCTGATTATGACAGTGACAATACACATGCTGAATAGCACAAGGAAAGACAGTGTTAGCCAAGATCATGAGTAACAGTCCGACAAAGGGATCACACCCACTGACTGGGAAACTCAGCAGACTTATTTGCCCTCTCTCTCCATTCACGCAGCAGACATTTGCCACCTGGCATGTAGTCAAAACCCACCCAATGCCAGTAGCTTCTCTCTGCTTGCATCCCGCATCCCCTTCACAATCTTATCTCACTGACAAGTATCTCAAGAATCTGATCTTTCCACTCCCATGCTGTTCTATTTGTAGCTATGCCAAGAAACAATTGCTTGATGGTGCCTCTGAGGTAGTCCCAGAAACTGGAACCAAAGATCACCAGTGCTTGATCCCAGAGGCTAATTAGCTGTACGACTCAGTCTGGCCTTTGAGCATGTACGAAGCATCTTTTTTTCACCACTATCAGTCTCCATAAATTTTACAAGATGCGACGTGGGCTTCCTAGCCCCAGCATTCCTCCCACTACAAGCCTACCCCACATGGTAAAGAGAAATGACAACAGACATGGGAGGACAGACAGCAGTATGAGCATCCCCCTCTCAGAGTTCACTAACAATCACTAAACATATTCAGTGTCTCCATCACCCCTACCCCAGTACCACACAACAGCCCCGCTGGATCAGACCAAAGGGTTATCTAAGTTCCACATCTTGTTTCTCCAACCACATGCTCCTGGGAAGCCCAGAAACACAGCTTGGACACCAAACCTCCTCGGGCTGCTGCTCCTCACAGATACACTGCCTCTTAAGATGGAGGCTCCACATTGAACCCCGAAACCCGTCATTGATAAGACCCGATTCGCTTCTCCGCACGACAACCCCCTTCCGCAATGCACAGGTCTTTGCTCACATACGTGGGGAGCAACAGAACAACAGCAACAAAAATGTTTCAAAGTGAACTGTTTGTTATATTCAAGGCTTCACCACATTCCCTTCCCAGAAAACTGCCGCCTTTCTCTAGCATGGCCAAAGACCCTCTCGGTTGCTGCAGGGGCTACGCTCGCTATACGCCCTCCCTCCCTTTAGAAGCGTCATTTAAGCCCCATGTAATGTATCCGCCTGGCCGGCCTGCCGAGGACATCTCTCCAGAGGCCCCTCAGGGGAAAGATCCTCCGGCTCTTTCACCCCCAACGGTCGCCATTGGTTGCCACCGTTCCGATAAAATAAAACATAACCCGCTGAAATGCCCTCCCTCTCGCCCCCTTACTAATTGCCCCATAACCCTTAACTGCGCCCCCCCCCCCTTACCCACCTTTCCTCACACCGCGGTAAAGCACTTCAGTACTGGCACGCATGCGCTCACCTTGCGGCCTGAATCTGAGATACCGAACGCGTGTGCGGCGCATGCGCGCTCTGTCAAGCAGTCCGGCGCCAGCCAGAACGGCGAGTACGAAAGGAAGTGTGGGCGGGGCCAGGACGGCTGGGTCAAGGTGTCCGTGTCGATGAGGGCAGGAGCTTGTATAGTGAGCGAAATGTGTTTTGCCAGCCGCGGGCGGGTTGCAGTTGTGGGCATGCTGGCTGGGACTGAGCTGCGTTGAGCTCAGGCTGCAGTCACACAGACTACATAATCCACTTCCAATCCACTTTCCAACTAGCAAAATCCCGTTGGAAAGTGTATTGAAAATGGATTCTTTAGTGTATGTGACCGCAGCCAATGTAGGGTTTGCTTGTGCATAAAAATATTGAGATTAAATTTTAAAAGAAAGTGGTGTAAATTCAAGAGGAAGAAATGAAGGAAGGGAGGATCAAAGCTAAAGTGAAGATTCATTGGGGTAAATCAGTTAAATAGTGGCAATGGATTAATTAAAGTAGTGCAATGAAGAGCAAAATGAGGAAATTAGGGTTCTAGGGCTGCAATCCTTTGGACGCTCACTTCATTGAATAAAACAAAGGTTGAGTCCAGTGGCACCTTTAAGATCAACAAAACTTAATTCTGGGCATAGGCTTTCGTGTGCATGTACACTTCTTCAGATATGGTAAATTTCCTCAACCATTACATATAGGTGTGTGTGGGGGGGTAGTTGCCAGGAAGGCTCAGCTCTTCCTGGCAACTGACCCCCCCATCTATATGTAATGGTTGAGGAAGTTTTGTTTTAGTGTATCTAAAGAAGTGTGCTTGCACACAAAAGCTTATACCCAGAATTAAACTTGGTTGGTTTTAAATAGGGTTGCCAGCTCTGTATTGGCAAATACCTGGAAATTATGGGGTTGAAGCCTGGAGAGAGTGGGCTTTGGGGGGGGACGAGACCTCCGCATGGTGCAGGGAAACTGATCTCTGTACTCTGGAGATCAGTTGTACAAGTGGGAGGTCTCTAGGCCCCACCTGGAGGTTGGCAACCCTTGTCTTAAAGGTGTCACTGGACTCAAACTTTGTTCCCTTGCTTCAGACCAACACGGCTACCTACCTGAATTCACTGAATAAAATTTGAGTCCAGTAGCATCTTTAAGACCATCAAGATTTCCAGGGTATAAACTTTCAAAAGTCAAGAGCTCCCTTTGTCAGATATCTGGTGAAAGGGGCGTTGACTCTTGAATCTTGCAGACTAACACAGCTACCCTCGGAAACTATCTTCATTGAATAAAGTGGGACTTATTCCTAAGCAAATGTGCAAAGGTTTATACTGCAAGAAATGAGAACTGATGTGGTGTAGTGGATTTGGGAGCTCTGGGTTCGCATCCCTGTTCTGCCATGAAGCGCATTGGAGGGGCTTGACCCAGTCATTTTTTCCCCTTGGCCTAATCTATTTCACAGGTTCATTGTGAAAATAACATGGAGAATTGAAATAGAAAGCTAACTATGCTGTCCTTGAGGTCCTTGGTGGAAGGGCAGGGTGTAAAAATGCAATAGAAAATTAGAGACTATGGCTGTGGTCACACACAGTAAATAACCCACTTTCAATGCACTTTCCAGCTGGATTTTGCCAGTTCACAATAGTAAAATCCAGTTGGAAAGTGCACTGAAAGTGGATTATTTAGTGTGTGTGACCTCAGACAAACTGAAGTCAGAGGTTAGAGATGTAGGGACTGGATACGGTAGCAGAGATGGAATGGGGACTGTACAGTTGCTAGAGCAATTATTGTGATTTAGAGTTGCTCCTTCCTGATCCTGGCTGGATTCTTCGAGAAAGCACTTTCGGTTCTATTACGGTGTCCTCTTTTTGGGGGGCTCTTAAAAAAAGACTGATGAAAATGTCCTTTTTGGGGGTTGGATTGGTTCGGAATATTCCTTGTTAGTAGCAATTACCACAGCTTAAATAGTAGGAGTATTTATAATGAGTTTCGTCATAGTGATCACTTGTTTGAAATAGTCGGGAAATATGTCCTTTTTTGCTTTTCAAAATATGGTAACCCTAGTTTTATCGTATCATTTCCTGCCTGGGTGTAGTTTGGGTGAGTGTAGTAACAGTAACTATACCCAAAGTTACATCAGAAATCTCGATGGCTCTTTTCATGTTGCATGCAAGTAATGCAGTCCCCCCCCCCTCCCGAAGTTCCTTGCCTCCTATCTAGGGTTGTCAACATACAAATGGGGCCTGGAGATCTCCTGGAATTGTGCCTATTCTGCAGGCTATATCAATCAGTTCCTTGGGAGGAAGTTACAGTTTTGGAGGCTATAGTGTGTTATACCCTGCTGAGATCCCTGCCCTCCCCAAATTCTATTCCCAAAATCTCCAGGAATTTCTCAAGCCGGAGTTGGCAACCCTATCATCTGTACTTTTTCTGGCTGTAGTGTAGTGCATTACAACAGAGGAATGCGTGGAACTGGACTGCGTATTAAAACAAGGCAAGAACAGATTGGGATAGCAACTCTAATTCTAATCCCGAGCTGGAACTGGAGCGCTCCTCCATATCCTTCGGAACATTGGAGATACTGAAGGGTTAAGACCATAGAGATTGAAATGGAGCCTAGAGAGGAAGCGGGCGAGAAGCGGCCGTCGGTACGGAAGGATTCGGCTTTGCTGAGCAACTGGGAGAGTGGAGTAGGGGATCGGGTTTTGGTCACTGCTGCAATCCAAGTGTGGCAGCATCTGGCTGCATCCCGGAGCTGGCCATGTTTAAGGCCATCCTTGTGATCCATTTATGAGCTAGCCGTAGGAAGGGAGGTAAGACCTGCCTGGGCCAGCTGTCGTTTCCCTCTTGCCAGGCTCAGTCAGTAGAGCTGAATAGCTCTGTTGCTGCTGTTGCCACAGAAAGCGGCCGTAAAGAGGAGAAGAGTTGTTGATCATAGTAGCCTAGCCTCTCATGTTTTGTAGGAGCTTTTGTGTCTGCAGTAATCGAGGCCTGGTCAAGTGTTCAAGACACTTTCATTACACAAAAGAAAGAAACAGAGGGAAAGTAGAGAATTTGTACACGTCTCCCTCAAAATGAGAGACATGACATCTACTCCCAAATAGTTCAAAGCTTGCCATATGAGTAGTGAATAAAACTACAGTTTCTAGAGAAGTCTGCAAATGGAACCTGTGCCTTAAGCATGAAAGCTTGGTGTATGTACTTTATCGCATAGGAACTCCTAGCAGTTTGGGACAGAGAAAGGCAACTCTTATATAGGATAGTGTTTGGGGCTATGGAATTTAAATCAGCTTAGAATGAGGCTGGGAACATTTCTGTTAGCATGCCGTATTATGTATGCATATAGGACTATGCAAACTGTATTTATAGTAGGTTGTTTCAGACTCACTTTTCTATAATGCAAAATGACTCCTTACTTCCAAACAACACATCCAAATGAATAGGAAAATAGGCTACTTTATAAGCTAGCTGCCTTATATCTGCAAAAAGGCAACTTGGGATGTTTCACACTCCTGGTTGGGCCTGGGGAAAAGCCTGTTTGGATTTTGATCGGGGTGGGAGTTGTGTGCTGGGACAAAGAAACAAGCATTTTAAATTAGGCTGTGTTCTGGACCTGTCTAGAAGAGGACATTTTCAAGGTCTCAGGCAGCTTGCAGTTGTCCTGGGGCTGAAATTGGTCAGGGGCTAACATTCTTGGATTGATCCCTGTTTTATTTTGATACAGGCAGTGGATCTATTGGCCTATATAAATGAGCCTACAGCTGGGGTTTTCTGATGGATTTCTTCCAGGGAGTTGCCCTGCACGCTGCTAACATCCATTTATTCTAGACTTCTCAGGCTCTCTGGATTGTGGTTGTACTTTCCAGAGCTCATTTAAAAGTCCAGTCCCGGGCAGAATTAGGTGCATATTTTGTGAATATGTGCTGAACTGCTGCATGTATTTTCATAAGTTTTTTTGGGCTCTATTACACCTAGTGTAATAACAATATTGCCTCGTTCCTCGGCTCACAATGCTATCCAAATTAGAGTTACAGTATTCTAAGCCCATTGAAGTAAATGGCTTTAGAAGGGTATAACTCTTGTTTATTTATTTTATTTATTTATTTATTTCATTCAGTTTGTATCCCGCTCACCCCCTTAGGGCTCTGAGCGGCTTACATGTTTCAATTAACACAAATCCTAGCCTAGGGGCACATACATATAGGGCTTGCAGGTAAAGTTGGAAGCCCTAAATTGGTTATTCTGGAGGCATCCTGTATACAGATTTCTAGTCTGCAACCTTTAAAAAATATTTATTCCTTCATCTCTCCATTTCTCTTTCAGGGACATACTGTTTGAGGGAGTGCCTCTTGGGAGTCCACGATGTTTCCCTTAAAGGATGCCGAGTTAGGCGCGTTCACTTTCTTTGCTTCTGCTCTTCCAAATGATGTATGTGGGAGCAACGGCTTGCCTCTGACACCAAACTCCATTAAAATCCTGGGGCGTTTTCAAATTCTCAAGACAGTTACACATCCCAGACTTTGCCAGTATGTGGATATTTCTCGTGGAAAACATGGTAAGTCTACTCCTCCCCCATGGTTGTTGCGTGTGCATATCCAAGTGTTACAGTAATTATTTTGTATGTGTCTTTCAAAGTGGTAGACTTCAAAGAAGCCTGGAGCATTTTTTGCTCGATGACAGCTGTTTGCTTTTCTCCAGACTGACTCTGGAGCAACATTTTTAGGCTGGTCTGTATAATAGTAGCACATAACAGAGGCAGATGTAGGAGCTGCTGGACTTCAGGCCTTTGCTATCCTGATAATTTTTAGGTATTTCTTCTTCTTTTTCACACTCTGATTCCCTCATTCTTTACTCCATCCTCATTCCATTTCCCTCTCCTACTCTCTTCTTTAAAAAACAGAACAAACTACGGTCTTCTTTTAGTCCATTTGTTCCTGAACAAAATTGAGTCCAGTGGAACCTTTAAAACCAACAAAGTTTTATTCATGTTATAAGCTTTTGTGTGCATGCACACTTTATTAGCTTGCAGACAAAAGCTTATACTGTGACTATAACTTTGTTGGTCTTAAAGGTGTCAGTGGACTCAAACTTTGTTCTGCTGCTTCAGACCAACATGGCTACCCCACCTGAATCAATTTTTTCCCTGTAATTCATCAATATGTCTAACTTTTTCTTTAATTCCATAAGTCTCTCTTTTGATGTTTGAAGTTGAAAAGAAATGTGCTTCACAGAAGGAGGTCTCAGCCATTCTCTCTTGGTCCTTACATTTTTGGAACTTATCGCTGAGGTATAAATCTTTCAAGGCATGGTGAAGATTAAGTATAAATGGTAATTCGCACCTCATAGTGGGTTTCTTGTAGGCCACTGAATGCTGCCAATTGCAGAACAACGTAAGGTTTGTCTGCATCTGTTTAACATCATCGAATGTCTTCAATTTTTTTACAGCAAATATTTACTTGCTGTTTGTACACTTTCTTTAGGAAACGAGGCTGATCCTTCCCCAGGCTCTGTGTTGCTTTCATTGCTGCTGCAAATACAGAGGCATCTGTGACAGCAACTGAGCTTCTGTACATGGAAGTTCTCTGTGCACTTCTGCACTTTTCCCCTGACTTTCCCCTTCCATACATGCTTTGCATTGGCTTGAGGCATAGTTGTCATGGCTGCCATGGCAACTTGCCACTGCTCCCTTATGGTTGTTCCCTTCACACACACACACACACACACACACTGTAGTGGTTCTATTAAAATTTGAACATGTGCTATAACACAATGCCATTTACCTATTTCAAATTTTAATAGAGCTGGGAAAATGGCACCACTGAAGTGCTTGACGGCAGGAAAATAGTGGTGCTGTGGAAGGGACCTTTGAAAATCAGGTACATACACACCATTAATTTCTAGACAGCTTATTAATGCACTTGGACTACA